GCCTCCTGTGTTCAATTGATTCTCCTGCCTCAGCCTCCCGAGTAGCTGGGACTACAGGCTCGTGCCACCACATCTGGCTAATTTTTGTATTTTTAGTAGAGACAGGGTTTCACCATGTTGGTCAGGCTGGTCTCAAACTTTGACCAGCATTTTGGGAGGCCAAGGCCGGCAGATCACCTAAGATCGGGAGTTCCAGACCAACCTGACCAAATAGCCACTAAAAATACAAAATTAGCCGGGTATGGTGGCACATACCTGTCATCCCAACTACTCAGGAGGCTGAGGCAGGAGAATCACTTTAACATGAGAGGTGGAGGTTGCGGTGAGCTGAGACTGGGCTGTTGCACTCCAGCCTGGGCAAAAAGAGCCAAACTTTGTCTCAAAAAAAAAAAAGCACCCAAACAGACCACAGTAGGCGTACCTCTGAACAATAACCCATAGAGTACTTGCAGCCTAGAGAGCACTTTATTATTAATTATTATTATTATTATTTTGAGACAGAGTCTCACTCTGCATCACTGCAACCTCCACCCCTGGGTTCAAGCGTTTCTCCTGCTTCAGCCTCCTGAGTAGCTGCAACTACAGGTGTGAACTACCACACCTGGCTAATATTTGTATCTTTAGTAGACATGAAGTTTCACCGAGTTCAAGGCTTCAAACTCCTGACCTCAGGTGATCCACCCACCTCAGCCTCCCGAAATGCTGAAATTACAGGTGTGGCACCCCACGTGGCCTTCTTTTATTATTATGATTTTTTAATTAATAGAGACAGGGTTTTGCAATGCTGCCCAGGCTGATCTTGAACTCCTGGACTCAAGCCATCTGCCTGCCTTGGCCTCCCAAAGTGCTGGGATTACAGGCGTGCGGTATCCTGCCCAGCCACAAAGCACTTTTACATTTTTAATTTTATGTGACCGACCTTTATACCGCCACTGGGACTCAAGGCTAGGATTGTCCCCTCATCAAGGTGAGAGTCAACACAGGCTCAGAGAGTCAAAGGCTGGCTAGACAAGGGGAGAGGCGCAGAGCTCAGCTGATCATCACTGGACTCTGGGTTCCACCGAACCCCTGGAACTTTCCAGCCTCAGGCCTCCACAGCTTCACAGGAACTGAGCAAGTCAACGCTCTAAGCTTCTGTCTCCTCACCTAAGCACGTTAGTGCTCACCTCCAGGGTGGTTAGGAGGACAATGAGGGAATGTCTTGGCCTGCACATACGTGCTCCATCAGTGGTACCTAAAAACGTCCACAGTTCCAGACACCATCTCCAGAGCAGGCGCTGTGAGGGGTGCAGACATGTAGCAGACAGGTCCTTCCTCTCCAGGGGCCTCTGCAGGTCCCTTGCAGAGCTGGCATTCAGTCCTGCCAGCTGTGGCAGGACACCTTCCTGTTCAAGGGATTAGCTTCCTCGGATATAAAATAAACATGATGAAATAGCTACCAACCCGGGAGTTGCCAGGAGACCCCATGAAGGTTCTGCACTAATAATTGTAACTAGTTTTTCTTTCTTTCTTTTTTTTTTTTTTTTTGAGATGGAGTTTCCCTCTTGTTGCCCAGACTGGCGTGCAATGGTGTGATCTTGGCCCACCTCAACCTCCGCCTCCCGGGTTCAAGTGATTCTCCTGTCTCAGCCTCCCGAGTGGCTGGGATTACAGGCATGCCATCACACCCGGCTAATATTTGTATTTTTAGTAGAGACAGGGTTTCTCCATGTTGATCAGGCTGGTCTCGAACTCTTGACCTCAGCTGATCCGCCTGCTTCGCCCTCAAGTGCTGGGATTACAGGCGTGAGCCACCGCGCCCAGGAGTAGCTAGTATTTCTTATCCCTTATTTTGTGCCAGGCACAGGGCCCCATTCATTACTGGCACTCAGTAAGGATTCGTGGGATTAATAAGAAGTTAACCTTAATCTTCACCAAAGGCCCCTGAGAGGTGGGCTGTGATGCGTCCCTGGGAGACCCATGAGTGCGCCTGCAGAGCTGACGGGGAGGGTTCAGGCAGGGCCTGGGGCTTAGAGGAGCTGAGATTAACGTCGCCCTTTACCCACTGACCCTCTGCAGGCGCTGGGGCTGTGGAGACCCGGAGTCGCCACAGATCGTACCCCGCAGGGACGGAGGAGGACGAAGGGATGGAGGAGGAGCCCAGCACCTTTCGGGGCCGTTCGCGCTCGGCACCCCCCAACCTCTGGGCAGCACAGCGCTATGGCCGCGAGCTCCGGAGGATGAGTGACGAGTTCGTGGACTCCTTTAAGGTGAGCGCCGGTCCCCAGCGTGCCAAGACCTGCAGTCCCAGGACGCCCCCCTCCTGTCTGTTCTTTCCTGTCCCAAGACACGCCCGGATCTGGTCCCACGACCCCTCCCCAACGCCGTCCGGTCCCTTCCTAGCTCCAGAGCATTCTCGGATCTGTAGTCACAGGATCTTACCCCCTCCCCCTACCTCTTCCCTTCCGAATCCCCGGGCAGGCGGGACTCCCCGACCTGGGCGGGGCGGGGGGGGGGGAGTCCCAAGACATGCTGGGATCTGTAGCCTAGATCCCGCTCCAGGCCAAAGCTCCTGGGTTCCCCGCATTCTCGGAGGGCCAGGCATGCTGGTATTTGTGCTCCTGGCTGGCACCTGGATGCTCTTTCGCCCAGGCTGGAGTGCAGTGGTGTGATCACGGCTCACCGCAGCCTGGAACTCCTGGCCTCAATCCTCCCGCCTCAACCTCCCAAAGTGATAGGATTACAGGCGCTCACCACCGCTCCCAGCCCTTTAATTCTTGAATTGCGGTCCCATCTTCTGAGTGCTAAGTTTCCAGCTCTGGCCTTTCCATGTAGGACCCTAGGTATCCTCCCTTCCCGTCCCCGGCAAGGAGTTCCTGGGATCTAACCAGTCCCCATTCCTAAGGGCCCATGCGTCCTCCCAAGCGTCCCAGACCACCCAGCCTGAAGCCTGCTGGAAGTTGCGGCCTTCATTATCTCCCCCGGATCTCAGAGGAGGGGTCACGGAAGTGGACGGTCTGGCTCGAGCCGCCCTGGTAATCTAACTCATGTAACCCTTTTCTCCCTACACCCGGAAGGGACTTCCTCGCCCGAAGAGCGCGGGCACAGCAACGCAGATGCGGCAAAGCGCCAGCTGGACGCGAGTCATCCAGTCCTGGTGGGATCGGAACTTGGGCAGGGGAGGATCCGCTCCCTCCCAGTGACCTTCGCTCCACATCCCAAAACTCCACCCGCTCTTATCGCCCTGAGTGGCCATCTTGGATATGGGCGGAAGTGCTTCCTGCAGGCCTTATGCAAAAAAAGGATCCGTGCCATCTCTTTCGGAGGGAGGGCTGACCCAGATTCCCTTCCGGTGCGTGTGAAGCCGCGGAAGGCTTGTTCCCATCGGAAGTTTTGCGTTTTCCGCCCGAAGCCCCCGGAAGTGGCTCCGTGGCCCCGCCCTTCGGTACCGGGCTGCCCCCAGACGCCTGAGCCAAGTCTCGAACCAGGCTTCACCGTTGCGTCAGCGGGATCGAGCCCCAGCGATGCCCCGCGGGCCGCGCTCGCTACCAAATGTTAATAAAGCCCGCGTCTGTGCCGCCGAAGCTTCTCTGTACATCGACTGGGGCTCCGCGGGCCGGGGTAGTGCTCTCACAGATACTTTCAAAAGAGGCCGTTGTCTTACGAGGGAAACTGAGTCTTTGCGGGACACCCAGCGACAGAGACGGAAGGGATCGGGGCGGCTCTCGGGCCAGGGCTGCGCGGCCCAAGTCCAAGTGCCCAGCATGCGCTTTGGGTCCGCAGCGCTGCCGGCCGCCCGATCCTGCGCTGTGCAAACCGTGCTGCGGCCCCCCAGGGAGAGTTACTGGCTCCTATTTGGGTCAGCCCTTGCCAGCAGCTACTGTGTGGCCGGCCTAGGGCCAGCGCTGCCCGGGGACGGGAGACGCGGGGCGAGAGGGAGTAGCGGAGCTGGACTGGGAGCAGGGTGGTCATTGGAAACCGAGGCTTCACGCGGGGACCCGGACAGACCGGGGGCTCCGTTCCAGAAAGATTTATTGGCGCCCCCCATAACTCGAGTCGGTGCTTGGTGCTGGGTACAGAGATGCGTTGCGCCATGGCTCTGCTCGTGGAAGCGCCCGAAGGCCCGGAGTCGGCGGGGCAGTCAGGGAGGGCTTCAGGAAGGAGGCGGCTAGAGCTGCGACCTGAAGGTGAGGTGGGGGAGGGGGATGGCCATCCCTCCTGGCGCGCGGGGAAGAGTGGACCCATGGAAGGATGGGGAAGCAGCAGAGGCCAGCCTTCTGAGAGGCTGGAATGTCACACCCAGGAGTTAGCAATTTAGCTGGTATTTGAGGACCCAGGAACTGATTTGGAGTGCGTCCCTCAGTGGACACCAGCCAGAGTCAGGGAGATGGGAGTTGGCTGCTAAGGGGCCTGGATAAAGAATACACTGGAGTGGGCAGGACCGGGTCCCACAGCAGAAGTGAGGAAGGCTGGGGCCGTGGCATTGACCCTGAGGGGAGGAGGGCCCTACCGAGGAGCCTGTTTCCCTGGCCTCCCCACCCCATCTGTTTGAGGCCGCAGCAAAAACAAAGCAAAGAAAATACTCAATTGGCAGGAGATAAGCCCAGATAAGAGGCTGCCTTCCCCTGGAGGAGGGATGCAGGCGGGCAGCCTGGGAAGCGCCAGGAAGCTGGGAGAGGCCTTGAAGAGGTGCCAGGCCAACCCTGCTGGGAGCCGGCCCCACCCTCGAGCCCTTGTTGTGGGCTCTTTGCCACTCTTCGCTGGTCCCGAGGCACGGGACAGGTCCAGGTTGGCCGAAGACAGTCCACCACGGAGGGTCCAGGCCTGCCCTGCCTCCAGATCAGGACGTCTTGACTGAGCTGTGGCCTGGCACACGAGAGATGGCTCCGGGCCTCAGTCTCCTCATCTGTAAAACAGGCACAACATCTCCCTCACAGGGATGAGGGGATGCCAGGTGGCCCAGCCCCTGCGTGTCTGACTGTCCACTTCCCTTCCCCCAGCATCACAGGCAGGCCTACTGCCCACCTCTCTCCGAAGGCCCGGGCCCCCTAGTGTGGGGCAGGTTCTCTGCCCTGCTCCACCCTGGCCGATCTGTCACCCGATAGAGTCAGCTGCCTGTCGGGGGCCCAGAGCAGCCAGGGCGGAAGATGCTAGGCGTTTGGGTCATATCAGGCCACAGGAAAGGGGGCAGGGAAGGCTTCCTGAAGCAGAGGCCTGAGCCTCAACGAAGAGAGAACAGGGAGAGCCTTGGAAGGAAGAAAGTCATGGGGAGGGGGAACAGGAACAGTGGCCTGGAGGCAGACAGCACAGGCAGAGGAAGGCCACAGACGCTGGCAGGCTCGGCAGGGCAGGCTCAGGTTCAACCAGCAGCCCTTTGCTGGAGGCATGACCTCAACCCCACCAAAGGCCCGAAGCCTATTTCATAGATGAGGAAACTTAGGGCCCAGAGTCCTCTCACCCCAAATCACACTGCACACAGGGTCCCTGAAATCCACTTTTATTCATGTAAAAAAATCCCCAAAGAGTAGAGAAAAAATGTGACTCCGACTTCCCGGGGCTCCGAGTCTCCAGCCAGCTCTCCCGGGACGGGAAGGAGACTGCAAGATCGAGGGTGTGGGTGTCACGAGGAGCAAGGCCCTGAGCAGGGCCCCAACTGAGAACTTAGGGCAGGAAGGAGGGGCCCCAGGAGGATGAAGGGAGTTAGCTGAGGTACTTGCCCTGGGTTTAAAAAAATAAAATTTCTAGAGATAAAAAGTTAAAAAAAAAAAAAAAAAAGGCTTAGTGTCGTTGCCTCCTGCCCTCCACCCAGTGCCCACCCTGGCCCTGCGGCCACCTCGTGCTCAGCCAGTTCAGAGCTGCGTGTTCTCCTCCTGGCTCTCCGAGTCAGCACCCGACAGGTGCCCGCTGCTCCCGGGTGCGTGACCGTTGCTGGCACAGGCCACCAGAGGCCTGTCCCCCAGCCCCTCTGGCGTCTCGCCCAGCAGGCTCCGGCGGATCTCCTGGGGCAGCCTCGCCCGCTGCTCCTGACACTCCTGGGCCAGCTGAGCCAGCAGCTGTGGGAGGAGGATGATCACAGGGAGGCCTGGCTGCCCTGCACCCCGCCTGCCCGCCTGCCCTGCACCCCGCCTGCCCTCCTGCCCGCCTGTGGCCTCACCATGGGCTCCTCTTCTGCCAGCTGTTGCAGGACCTGCTGCTGCCCCGCCACAAGACGGTCGTGCCGCTGCTTCTGGGCCTCCTCCAGCTACAGGGGTGGGCAAGGGCTCAGCTGAGCCCGGAGGGAGGGGCTTGGGCCTCGGGGCTTTGGCTGGGCATAGAAGCCAGGTGGGCAAGGCCAGGGACAGTGGCCTCACGCGTGTAATTCCAGCACTTTGAAAGGCTGAGGCAGGCGGGTCCCCTGAGGTCAGGAGTTAGAGACCAGCCTGACCAACATGGTGAAATCCCATCTCTACTAAAAATACAAAAATTAGCCGGGCGTGGTGGCGCGTGTCTGTAATCCCAGCCACTCGGGAGGCTGAGGCACAATCGCTTAAACCCAGAAGGCAGAGGCTGCAGTGAGCTGAGATCACAGCACTGCACTCCAGCCTGGGTGACATACTGAGACTCTGTCTCAAAGAAAAATAAGAAGTCAGGTGGCCGAAGGCTCCCAGGGTGGTGTAACAGGGCTGTGAAAGCACCAGGCCTGAGGACACCAAAGCCAGGGACACTGATGCAGACAGCTGGCTCTGGGTATGATGTGGGCACCCTGGGGCTGTTGGGCATTCGGGAAAGGTTCTAGAAGAACCTTGAGGGCAACATGGCACCAGGCCAGGCATGGAGACCGGTGTCTGATGAGTGAAGGAAGGGAGGTGGGGTAGGGTGGGCTGGGAACCTGACTCACCCGACGGATGGAGTTGACAGACTCAGTGATGTGCCGACGATTAATCTCTGTCAGTTCCCTGCACAGGAGCAACGCAGGATGGCTCAGCACCCAGGCACCCGCCCTGCCCCCCCAAATACCCAAATGCCCCAGGCAACCGCCCTGCCCCCCCAAATACCCCAGGCACCTGCCCTGCCTCCCCAGTGCCCAGACAGCCCAGGCATCCACCCTGCCTCCCCAGTGCCCAGACGGCCCAGGCATCCACCCTGCCTCCCCAGTGCCCAGACACAGCCCAGGCACCCGCCCTGCCCCCCCAAATACCCCAGGCACCCGCCCTGCCTCCCCAGTGCCCAGATGGCCCAGGCATCCACCCTGCCTCCCCAGTGCCCAGACACAGCCCAGGCACCCGCCTTGTCCCCCTAGTCCCCAGATGGCCCAGGCACCCACCCTGCCTCCCCAGTGCCCACATGGCCCCCAGCGCAGGTGCCCTTACACCTCCTTCTTATGCTTGTCTCTCGTCTTGGCCTCCGAGATGCTGTTGTGGCGCTTTCTGTCCAGGATCTTCTGTAGCTCCTTCTTCTCCCTGGAGAAGCCGGCAGGGGAAGAGGAGCAGTCAGCAGCAGAAGCACAGACTCCGCCCTCCTCCTGGCGCCCAGAGCCCCCCATAGACCATCCTGGCCCTTCACCTCTCGTTCGTCTCCTTCAGCCTCTTGAACTGAGTTGTGTTTGCATCAAGGACGACCTCCCTGAGCCGCTGCTGAGCCTGTGGACACAGGGGACCCGATGGGTGACGCTGGGCTGATGACAGGTCTATCCAGGAGGCTTTCCCTGGCCACCGAGGGCCCCTCACCTGTTTCAGGTGCTCCAGCCTCCGCTGGGCCTCTGCGTCCGCCTGGGCCTCCCGCAGCTCCAGCAGGCTCTGCACCTGTCTGTTCTGGAACTCCTGATAGCGCTTCGCCTCGTCCTCCCCCTCCTTTGAGTCCTCGTCAGCGGCCCCACCTCTGTGAGGAGAACCCCTCTGGGTGACACTTGGGTCCACCACATGGGACTGGAACAGGGAGGGTGCGAGGGAGGGTGCTCATCCTGCAGGCGATGGCAGACACCACCCTGTGTGGCCAGGTCTGTTATGCAAACCAGGAGGCCGTTAGCACCACCCAAGTGAAGGGAGCCTGTTTGGGCAACAAGCTCCTCATGGGGGACTTCAAAAGAGATGTCACTCCCCGGGGGCCACCGGGGGCCTGGCGTGGAGCCTCCTGTCCTTGCATTGAACCCTCCTCCCTGCAACCCATCTCCATGCCCAGCAACCCCCATGTTCACATCAGCACCCCCAACACACCCAGCACCCAGCCAGGCTGGACACTCACAGGGCACCAGGCCGCGGCCGGCACCTGCTCTCTGCCTGTGCCTGAGCCAGGCCGTCCAGCAGGCGGCGGGTGAGGGTGACCACCTTCCGCTGATGCTTCTTGCGCAGCTCCCGAAGCTCTCGCTCCTGCCGGCTCCGGAGCTTGACCAGAGCCTTGTGTCCTCGGAGCTCGTCCAGCGGGGTGGGGGCCACCTCTGGGAGTGGCAAAGCAGAGGTGGGCAGGGGGCAGGGGAACAGGACTGGGGCAGGCCAACCTGCAGGGCAGCCACTGCGCCCCCCTGCCTCCAGGTACCCCGCCCCTACCTGAGAGAATGCTGGCAATGAGATCGTCGCGCTGCCCTGGGGAGCAGAGGCCCGGTGAGGAG